AGTTTGAATTTCAAATAAATAAATAAATCTTAAAAAAATCATTGATCCCGTGAAAGATAATCCTGTTGAAGAAGTTTCAGTTTTGAGCTAAGAAGATTTTGAAGCAATCAAGAATACAGATTCCATAACAAGTCAGATTTCACTTTTGGTAGCCCAGTGTCATGAAATGAAACCAAACTTGGCACCATTGCAGAATATAAAAAGAAGGAAGAATTATATTTGTAAAGGGTAGCAGAATTGGACAAAATTACTTATGAAAGAGATAATTTTAGACAAGCAAAGGAAGATCTGCGGAAACACAGGTTGAATGAATTTATGGCAGACTTTTATAAAGTAACAAATACAAGAGAATTACCAGATGCTTACCTTGGGAGGGGAAGCTGAACTGGAGCTTAGAGACAGCTTGGATCCTTTCTCTGAAGGAATCCTGTGCAGTGTTCCACCACCTCAGGAAAGTTGGAAGATCTTCAACCATTCAGCAGGAGAGAAAACACTTCATTCCTTGGCTTTAGAGTTTGCTTTCCATCATTACAAACCCACTCCCCTTCACTTCATGGATGAAACTGATGCAGCCTTTGATTTTAAAAATGTGTCCATTGTTGCATTGTATATATGTGAACAAAAATGCCCAGTTCATCATAATTTCTCTTTGAAACCACATGTTTGAGATTTTGGATAGGCTTATTGGAATTTACAGGACATAAAATATAACAAAAAGTGTTGCTGTCAACCTAAAAGAAATTGTATCTAAAGGACTGTGTTGAATTGGTTCCCAATTAAGTTCCCAATTAAGTTGGGATACATGTAGTGTATTATATTGATTATCTAATTGTAATGAATGATATAAAAATACATATTCCTAAACTGATTCACACATTTGGTTTCTATTTTACTCTGTTAATTAAAAGTCAAAGTCTAATAAAATATTCTCTGTACATGCAAAAAAGTTAACAAAACTAGCAACACTAAGGAGTTCTTATACATCCTTCAGTCAATTCTATCCTAAATAAGTTTTGACTTTATTGCCACTCTCCACATTTTGTATATATGAAGACATAGAATTTCAACAGTATATTTATCCTGAAAATTCATAGGCATGTAAGTAGCAAGATTTCTAATCCAGAAAGCGATTGTTTGCTAATATGAATTAACCAATAGTTTGAATATTTAAGTGTTTATAAAGTATTTGAAAGAAAAAAGTCAATCAACCTAAATGGGAACTTGGCTTAGCAGTTAAGATGCTATTTGGGATGCATGCATTCCTTCTGGGAGTGCCTGGGTTCTACTCTCGATTCTAGCTCTCTGATACCATGCCTCTTGGGAGGCAGTAGCTGAGAGCTGAAGAGTTGGGTCTCTGCCACCCTAGTGGGAGACCAGGATTGGGTTCCCAGCTCATGGCTTTAGCTCAGCCCAGCCTCAGCTGTTGTGGGTATTTTGGGAGCTCTCTCTCTGTCTCTCAAATAAAATAAATTCTGTCTATAAGGAAATGCTGGTTCCTCCAGACCTGCCCATCGGCTGTACTAAGCTGGAGACAGCAAGCACAGCTCCCTGAGACTCTTAAATCCAACCACGGACTCTCTGAAGTGAATCTGAATGTGCATTTGGTTTTAATAATATGCTCAGGAAACGTGAAATAAAGAGCATGTTCAAGGATCTTGGGACCATTTTGAAGGCCAAAGCCAGGTTCTGGTCAATGGGAAAGCACCCAGTGCTGTATGGAGCCAAAGCTCAGCACACATCCTCACTACTGTAGCAGAATATGTGAGCATTTCTGAGAATGGAGGGCATCAGGACTGGGGCAGGTTCCCGAGGAGCACAATTCCAAGGATCTCTATATGGGAAGATCTGAGTGGACAGGGGACTTTTCTGCATTCCAGGAGCTGCCAGGTACAGAGACACCCTGGTGTGTCTGGTAGGAGAGGTTGTTCTTTGGTATCCAACACTCAGGGATGGAGATAAACACGGCTCTATCACGTCCCCAGGGTCTGTTGGTATGCTTTTCAAATAATGATTTCCTTATTTTATATGCTTTGAAGAGCCTTTTTTTTTTAAAGGATTATTTATTTGAAAGGCAGAGTTAGAGAGAGAAAGAGAGAGTGGGAGAGGGAGAGAGAGAGAAAGGGAATCTTCTATCTGCTGGTTCATTCCCTAAATGGCTGCAATGGCTAGGGCTGGGGCAGGCCAAAGCCAGGAGGCCAGGAGCTTCTCCCTGGTCTCCTATGTGGGTGCAGCACTTGGGCCAACGTACTTTACATCTGAAGTCCTCCTTTCATGTTCCTTCTTCCTTACATGAAAACATCGCAAGAAATAATCATAACCAATACTTTTTTGGATATATTGCAATGTTGAAACACCATAGATAATTCACAGCACATTTATTTGTAAGATAACAAAATAAAGCTAATTAAGTACCAGTTTGCTCTCCAGATGGAGTATTCTGCATCATGTTGACATGCAGCCCCCTTTTTATGCAATTCAGATATCACATGGCGCTCCATGGTGATGCATACCAACATTCTTTGGAAAATTACTTAACTTCCATCCTCTGGTGTACACCCCCGATGGCCACAACAATCAGGGTTGGGCCAGGCCAAAGCCAAAAGCCAGGGTGGCAAAGGCCCAAATCCTTGGGCCATTTTACACTGCTTTTCTGAGTCATTAGCAGGGTGTGGATCAGAAGTGGAGCAGCTGGGAGCTGAATGGCACCCATATGGAATGCTGATGTTGCAGTTGGCAGCTGTATCTGCTATGTCACAAAGCCATCTTGAAACCTTTTTCTTTAATTAAAAAAGGTATATAGCATATCCATTCCTAATTTTATAAAACACTATGTTATGATGATGGTGCTTCTTTTATTCTATAGAGTAAGTCATTAAAAAAAGGACTAGGCCAGCACTGTGGCTCACTAGGCTAATCCTCCGCTTTGCGGCGCCGGCACACCGGGTTCTAGTTCCGGTCGGGGCGCCGGATTCTGTCCCGGTTGCCCCTCTTCCAGGCCAGCTCTCTGCTGTGGCCAGGGAGTGCAGTGGAGGATGGCCCAAGTGCTTGGGCCCTGCACCCCATGGGAGACCAGGATAAGTACCTGGTTCTTGCCATCGGATCAGCACGGTGCGCCGGCTGCAGTGCACTGGCCGCAGCGGCCATTGGAGGGTGAACCAACTGCAAAAAGGAAGACCTTTCTCTTTGTCCCTCTCACTGTCCACTCTGCCTGTCCAAAAAAAAAAAAAAAAGGGACTATCACATGTAAATAGTGATAATTCCTTTTATGAGCCATACTGAAATATAAGTAAAACTGTGGTGACAATAATAAAATACAAAGAGTTAACAAAATAGAGGGATGCCTTGATGATCAAATTTCCAACAGTCAGAAGCATATTTAGGAAAATAATAAACATAACATCATAAGTTCATAATCTCATTAGTTCAGAGAGAAAACTGATCATTTTGTTTTTTATTCATTTTTAAAAAGATTTATTTATTTATTTGAACCTCAGAATTACACAGAGAAGGAGATGCAGAGAGAGAGAGAGTGAGAGCGAGAGCGAGAGCAAGAGAGATAGAGAGAGAGAGAGAGGTCTTCATTCACTTGTTCACTCCTCAGATGGCTGTAATGGCTGGAGCTGCACCAATTTGAAGCTAGGAGCCAGGAGATTCTTCCAGGTATTCCCATGTGGGTGGCAGGGACCCAAGAACTTGAGCCATCTTCCTCTGCTTTCCCAGGCCATAGCAGAGAGCTGGATTGGAAGTGGAGCAGCCAGGACTTGATCCAGTGCCCATATGGGATGCCAGCACTGTAGCAGGCAGCTTTCTCTACTAAGCCACAGCACTGGACCCAAAACTGTCCATTTTAACTTCCAATCAAGGCCCTATGTGAGGGCCAGCATTGTGGCTCAGCAGGGTTATGCCACCATATTCAATGCTGACATCTCATGCGAGCACTGGTTTGAGTCCCAGCTGCTCCACTTCATATCCAGTTCCTGAGTAAGGTGCTTGGGAAAGCAGCAGAAGATGGTCCAAATGCTTGGACCCCTGCACCCATGTGGGAGACCCGGATGGAGTTCCAACCTCCTGGCTATGGACTGGTCCAGCCCCAGCTGTTGCAGCCATTGGGAGTGCATGGAAGATCCCTCTCTCTCTGTAACTCTGCCTTTCAAATAGGTAAATAAATCTTTAAAAAAAGAAAAAGTTACAGCAGAAAGAACAAGAATACTGAACAAATGGCAAGAGGTGCACCCAGTAATTAGAGAAATCCAATCTCAATTATATCAGGTGTTATTTTAAAACAAGGAGACTATTCCTGTTAAACATTGTTTGACTATACTTAGTTAGTTATAAATATATACCTAAAATATAAGGCTTAAAGTAGAAAAATGAAAAATAAATTTCATGTGACTTAATCAATTAATTAATGACTGTATAAATATCAAATAAAATAGTCTGTAGATTTAAAGCAGTTTATTATTGTGACTAATATTTTTATATTTGTAAGTATATATTATCCTACTATGATTGCTTGATAACAAATGTAATCTAATAGTGTGTATTACACCCTATATATATACACAAATGTGTGTAAGCAGGAGTACAGGGTCTCTTTTTTTTTTTGACAGGCAGAGTGGACAGTGAGAGAGAGAGAGACAGAGCGAAAGGTCTTCCTTTGCCGTAAGTTCACCCTCCAATGGCCACCATGGCTGGCGCACTGCGGCCGGCACACTGCGCTGATCCGAAGGCAGGAGCCAGGTGCTTTTCCTGGTCTCCCATGGGTGCAGGGCGCAAGCACCTGGGCCATCCTCCACTTCACTCCCTGGCCACAGCAGAGAGCTGGCCTGGAAGAGGGGCAACCGGGACAGCATCTGGCACCACAACCGCAACTAGAACCCGGTGTGCCGGCACCGCTAGGCGGAGGATTAGCCTAGTGAGCCGCGGCGCTGGCCGAGTACAGGGTCTTGTAATATGGCTACCAAATAACTGTGCCTATACTATTGTACAACTAGTGAGTATTATAAAGCAAATACAAGGCACATGTTTCTGATAATGTTGGGGGATTTTGTATTCCTTATCCAGGCAAAGCAGAGCCTGGATACCCTGGAGTCACAGCTCATGAGAATATAGGGGCTAAGAGTTGGGAAACAGCCAGCAAATAATGCAGAGATGTTCACTGTTAATCGACTGGGCTTACAAAGAAGAGCCAAATACACTTGGAAAGTGGAGGAGACCACGTAAAAAAATACAAATGTGCTCACCAGAGCAAGGATGCTCCGAGTAGCTCTGGATTCAAGGGAAGTCCTGGGGGAAGCATTCCTGGGACCATGAATGTGCTGCACCTGCTGCTTGTGTCTGTGCAGACTGAACACCATGGAGCTGCTGGCCAGGAGCGTGAGCCCCAAGGACACAGCATCAGGCAACAATAGTAGTGCCAAGAAGAGCGATCCTGTGAAGGTGTCTTGGAAGACAGCGTTACAGTACCCATAGTCTTTTCTCTTTGTGATGCTTGTGTTGATCCACTTACTAGTCAGGTAGATGGGGGAAATGGTGTTTATTAACATGTTCAGGATCCAGCACAGCATGGAGGAGAGGCCTATGTACCTGGGAGCTTTGACTTTAAGCTCTGCCCACCTAGAATTCCTGGGGCTGATGGTGATGGCCTGGAAGATACTCAAGAAGCAGGTGCTTTTGATGGACACGGCCCTGGACACTCTTTGTACATAGAAAAGAATGTTGCACTCAGCATCGCTGGGGAGAAATTTCCACCTTAAAGCTGTGTAGTAGTATTGTCTGGAGGGAGGAAGTGTGGGAAGAATCACTATGTTCCTAAATTTGTATATATGAGATGCATGAAGTTTATTTTCCTTAAGTAAGAAAAAAAATGATTTCCAAGAGTTTAGGGTGTAACATGCAGACAAGACTACAGTGTGTGAATCACTGCAGTGAAGAGCACACACCGGCATCGTCTTTGCTTTCCACAAACATGTGAGGCACTCCCTGCTATTACTTACATTATAAAGAAGCAGGGAACTCAGAGAAGGAGAAGGTCAGTGTTTTGTGTGAATTCATAAACAGGCTGGGGGACTTGAACAGGTGAGGACTTGAAACTGCCTGGACTGGCACTGAAGACATGAAAGCCCCACACGGGTGAAAAGCTGGTTAGCGTTGGTCCCCAAAGAGCCTAGGTATATGAGGGAACTTAAGTCCTTGGAAAATTTTAATCATAGATAAGCTTATTATAGTGCAGAGATTTTGAAATCCATGCATTGTGTTTTCCATAATATGCATCTCCATGATCTTTTTGAAGAACCCTTCATATGCATGAATTTTAAAAAAATGTTTTGGACTAAAATAAACTTACCTTTTAATTCCACTTCCCACTAACTTCTCTTATGTATCCTCACACATTTGTTTTTGTTTTCATAACTTGTTATCTTATTTTGGATTGGGGAATACGTTATTTGATGCTATTGGTTGTTAACAAGTCCCTATTTATGTCTGCAGGTCAGCAAATAGGCCAAAATCAATGAGGACTGGAAGATGAAAGATTCACCAGTGGAGGTGCACTGAGAGCTGTACAGACCGCAGAAGCCTGCCCCACATCTGGTTGGAGTCAATGAAAGGAGTGCAGTGGAGGATGGCCCAAGTGCTTGGGTCCTGCACCCACATGGGAGACCCGGAGAGGCACCTAGGTCCTGACTTCGGATTCTCTGAAATGAGAATTTGATCATGGAGAAGGCTATGCCTATGCAAGGGTGTATGGGAAATCTCTTGAACTGCTGATCAATGAACCTGAAATAGCTCTACATGGTGAGTCTATTTCACAGATATATTATATGTATTTTAACAACAGCCCAAAACTCCCTATTCAATTTCTTCAATGCAATAAATTTCATGGAATACATACAGGTGTACTCTAAAATGTTCATGGGCAATTGAATTAAAAGATAAATTTATTTTGGTAAAAACATTTAGAAATCCATGCACATGAACACTCCTTAAAAAGTTCTCAGAGGGGCTGGCTCTATAGCATAGTAGGAAGCCTCCCCATGCAACACCAGCAGTCAGCTGCTGCGCTTCCAATCCAGCTCTCTGCTGTGGCCTGGGAGGGCAGTGGAGGATGGCCCAGGTCAGGTCCTTGGGCCTCTGTATTTCTGTTGGGGACCCAGAGGAGGCTCTTAGTTCCTGGCTTTGGATCAGCACAGCTCCGGCCATTGTGGCCAATTGGGGAGTAAAGCAGCAGATGGAAGATCCCTTCCTCCCCACGCCCCTCCTTCTCTCTCTATGTAACTCTTTCAAATAAATAAATGGATCTAAAAAAACAGAAATTCTTAATCTAGGTGGATGTTTACAACTTCCCAATTACAGATTTAAAGAACACAAATCAGTACTGGAAAACTATATTTACAATAAATAATTTTTAGTTCATGGCTGGTTTCACTTTGATTAAAAAATAATATGTGATCTGTTACAATCATAGGTAGGGCTGCCTTAACATGTGTGATCAGCTGTAAGTGTAGGCAAAACTGACTTGCATGTGTGCTGGCTGTAATTGTAGGCAAGGCTGACTTGCACATGTGTCAACTCTACTCACGGGCAAGGGTGACCTACACCTTTATTTCGAGTGAAATCCAGCTGTTCCAGTGTCAAGGAAGAGCTGCTGCTCTCATGCCAACAATGGGAACGTGGAATGAAACAGGCACTTGCACAGTTGTTCTGGAGTGCATTTCTTAAAATCTAATTTCCTTGTAAGTACCGAACACAGCCACAACTCCGTGAACATTTCTTATGCAAAGCCAGCTGAGGCTCTAGTGAGTGGAAGGTGGAGGAACCTTTTCTGCCAATGGGAGCAGGGCACACCCATCTATGAGCTCATATAGGGAGGCCCCTCAAATCAAACTGCATGGTCTACAAGCTGAGCTTCCAGATTACATCTGGGGCAGGTGACCCAGATCCCCCCTGTTACTCCCTTCAGTACTCAGCAGACTAGCCCTCCTTCTTCTTACCTGAAACTTAAGAGAGGTGTTCCGATGGAGAAGAACTGAGGAAAAAGGCGCTTTTTCCCAGCATGCAACTCCGCGCAACCCTAACAGAGCTCTGGGGGGCCTCTGGGCAATGTTCGTCTGCGTGGCATGGTGGACGCCGCCTGCCGAGTTCTCTGCTCGGTAGGCGTCTTACTGGTTTCTGAGCGGGCTGATTTCCCGTAGGCTCGGGGTGAAAGTACTTCAGAGCCGGGGAGCTGGGAGTGCCGCGAGCCCTGGTTTCTCCCCGCTCGGAAACAGGATCATGCTGAAGATGATGCCCCATAGACTCCAGTCAGGGAGCCGCCCGGGGCGTGACCCAGCGGGCGGAAGGCCCTCTCTCTCTCTCTCCCTCTCGCGGTCTTCAGAGAAGGATTGCTACAGATGACTGTCAACGATTACCGGGGAACAAGTTTGATAACCTAGGAGAGATGGGCCAATTCTTAGCCACATAGAACTTACCAACATTGAATCAGCAATCAAATACTGGGGCTGGTGCAGTGGCCTATCGGGTTAGGCCGCCACCTGCAGTGCTGGCATCCCATATGGGCACCGGTTCAGTCCCAGCTGCTCCACTTCTGATCCAGCTGTCTGCTATGCCCTGGGAAAGCAGTAGAAGATGGTCCAAATCCTTGGGCCCCTTCACCGGCATGGGAGACCTGGAGGAAACTCCAGGCTCCTGGCTTCAGATCAGCGCAGTTCTGGCCGTTGCAGCAATTGGGGGGTGAACCAGCGGATGGAAGATACCCCGCATCTCACGCATGCTTCTGCTTCTCCTTCTCTGTGTAACTTTTTGAAATCTTTAAAAAAAAATCTAGACTAATGAGCGGCATGACTGAATCAGTAACAAAAAGTCTATCATCAGACCAGATAATCTCTACCAAACACTTCAAGAGAAATTAACACTAATTCTTTAATTATTTCAAAAAACGGCAGAGGATGGCATTGTTCCAAACTCACTCTATGAGTCCAGAATTACCTTGATACTAAAACCAGACAGAAGCACAACAAAGGTAGAAGGCTACAGGCCATCTCTCTTCTTCATGTGCATAGTGCAAAACGCCTCAAGAAAGTTCTAGGAAGTCACCTCCAACAGAACCATGAGAAGATTATTCACTATGGTGAAGTGGGGTTCTCTTCAGCCACTAAGGACAATTCAACATCCATGAACCTGATACATGATGTCAACAGTCACCAGGAAGGACACAAATTATAGGAACATCTCAATAGGTGCAGAAAAGACATCTGATAAAATGTACCACTGCTTCCTGATAACCCTGAACAAATAAGTATAGAAGGAATATACTTCAACATAAAGAAGGCCTTATCTAATAAGGCAACTGCTAACATCATACTGAATGAGGAAAAACTAAGTTTTCTAAGATCTGTAACAAGACAAGGTTGCCCACGTTTACCACTTATATTCAACACTTCTGGAAGTTCTAGCAATTAGTCAAGAGAAAGAAATGGCATTCCAACAGGGAAGGAAGAAGTCAAACTGTCACAGTTCTCAGATGAAATGATCCACCAAAAACTATTTTTAAAAGCAATTTATTTGGCTGGCGCCGCGATTCACTAGGCTAATCCTCCACCTAGTAGCGCCAGCACACAGGGTTCTAGTCCCGGTTGGGGCGCCGGATTCTGTCCCGGTTGCCCCTCTTCCAGGCCAGCTCTCTGCTGTGGCCAGGGAGTGCAGTGGAGGATGGCCCAGGTGCTTGGGACCTGCACACCATGGGAGACCAGGAAAAGCACCTGGCTCCTGGCTCCTGCCATCGGATCAGCGCGGTGTGCTGGCCACAGCGCGCCGGCCGCGGCGGCCATTGGAGGGTGAACCATGGCAAAGGAAGACCTTTCTCTTTGTCTCTCTCTCACTGTCCACTCTGCCTGTTAAAAAAAAGCAATTTATTTATTTGAGTAATAAAATTAATGAAGTGAAAGATGTCTACCCGTGGCATAGTGAGTAAATCCCCGCCTGCAGTTCTGGCATCCCATATGGGCGCCAGTTTGAGTGAGTCCCAGCTGCTCCATTTCCGAAGCAGCTCTCTGCTATGGCCTGGGAAAGCAGTAGAAGATGGTCCAGGCCCTGGGCCCCTGCACCCATGTGGGAGACCTGGAAGAAACTCCTGGATCCTGGCTTCAGATTGGCACAGCTCTGGCTGTTGTAGTCATTTGGGAGTGAACCAGCGGATGGAAGACCTCTCTCTCTCTCTCTCTCTCTGCCTCTCTGTCATTGCCTTTCAAATAAATAAATAAATCTTTTTTAGAAAAAGTTCTGTGCAATAAAAACTGAAACACATAGAGGCTGAGGGTGGAGCTCAATGGGTTCCACACACCTTTCTGCCATATCTGTGCTCCCATGTCTCTGTGCCTCTATGGCAACTGGTGTCATGGTAACCAACAAGCTCACCTGATTGGCTAGTTGCCCACAACTCTGCTTTGATACTGCTTGGCAATGAGCCACGTTTGTCCGTGTAAGCCCTTATAAGCAACTGGGGGCCATGGTTAGATGCTGCTGCTTGTGGCTGTTTGTGGCTGCAGATGTGAATGGGCAGAGTCTCTGAGTGTGTGTCCCACTGCCACCAAGGACATGAAGGTGGATACCTTTTGTGGCCCTACTGCCGTCATGGGCCAGTGGCTGTTGCATACATCTCACCACCCCCAGGAGTAAAGGAGGGATAAATCTAGAAATGATTCTGGATTGTTCTCTGATTGTCAGAATCCAGATCTGCTTGTCTGGAAACCGAGTTCCAGACTCACAGACATTGATGAAGGACATCCCTTGTTCATGGATGGAAGAGGCAATATCATTAATGCCCACAGCTTGGTGTGTTAATTCTCTTTCTCATTAAATATCTGTGCTTCCAGAGCCATTCCTACCAGCACCCTGTTCCCTAGCGCTTAAGATCTGCCACTTGTTCTACCAGATGCAAAAAAGTGAATACAAACACAACAATGAAATGCCTCTCTGTATCCCTCCCACCCACTTTTTTTTTTTTTTAAACTGGAAATTGAGGAACAGAAGTAGCAGGACTGGTCTCACCACCTGCAGCCCCATGGGAATTATGGGACAGTCAGTTCCCAACTCCCAGGTGTTGTGAGCATACCTCATGTGAGGGATGTGTGGTTCCCAGCACGGCGCTCTCACACTTGTGAGTACACGTATGCATTCAGCAAGCACTGCGTTCGTGCACATGCACACGCTGCCTTCCAGCGGCAGGCTGATTCAGACAGTGCTGCCGCCTTCTGTGTCCTGTAACTGTGACCGGGTCAGCAATAATGCAGTTTTCAGGATGGCTATCAGAGTTTTAAAATCACAGAGAGAAGCCCTCAAGACCTAGTGCTACCTAGAGCGTGGCCGTGAGTTCAGGTCACAGGCACCTACGCAGATAGAAGAGAAGCCATCCAAGACTCCACCATAGAGCAGGGGCAAAGGGACAGGAGCGTGGGTTTCCTGATGTGATCCAAGTACATGGTAAGGTATTGAAAAGTCTCACTGGACCCCAGAAATATCCAGCATTACAGTTAGTCGCATTTTTAAAACGTTTCACAAAGTATGGAAAACACAAAGAAAATGCTTGAAAAGAAACTGTGTGTGTGTGTGTGTGTGTGTGTGTGTGTGTGTGAAGAGAGTTGGGTCTCAGGGGCTTGGGTGTGTCGCTCCTGCTTTCTCTAGCTTAGTGCTGCTGGTAATGGGCATAGGCGACCCCACACGGGCACTGACAGGGCCCCGCCATCCTGCAGGATCCCAACTTCCTAGAACAGGGCCCGCAGCACTTGTGTGCAGGTGAGGCTTGAGAGGCAGCTATTAGCCGAGTGGTTCTGGACCAAGACTGCCCAGCGGGATCACAGGGCCAGGTCTGAGAGAAGCGCTCACCCGCGGCTTCTCCCACAGCCTCTACTGCACTGACCTGGCTGGGAGCCTCGGTGCTGTCCTCATGCAGTGCTTGGGTCCTACTCAGGGTCACGCACGAGGGTTCCCCGGGGCACTGAGCTCCCCCCTGCATGGGTGGCTGGGATGGGTCAGCACCATCCAGATCCCCACTGCGGAGGCAGATGCTGTTTACGGTAGAGGCCGGCACCTGCAGGCAGGAGAGGAGGAACTACAATTTTGTTCTCGGTGTAGGAGCACCTGTTCCTGAATTTCTACAGCGCCAAGGCACAGGGGAGGGTGGTCTTTGTTCCCCTTCAGAATCCTTCTGCCTGTGGGTGTGCTGACACCATGAAAGGCAGCGGGACAGCTGGAGGGCATCTTGGCAGAGAGAACTGGAGACAGAAGAAAGGGCCGCATGTCAGGTCCCTGTGGCCCATGTCAGAGGCTGCACCCTCTTTTCTTCCTCTTGTGCCTGGCATTTTGCCGTTGCAAACATCACTTCTCACATTCCCGCCTTCTGAGTGCGCTTCAAAGGACGAGTTTTCCCTTTTCTTCTGTGACCGTCAGGTGAGCTCTTTCAAATACTTCTCTCCTATATTCCAGAACCTTCTCTTCCTCCTGGCTTTTTCTCTTTCTTTTCATTTCTCTTTTCTTTTCCTTTCCTTTCTTTTCTTTTCTCTTTTCTCTTTTCCATGAACAGTTCTCACCATGAGTTGATGACCTGTGATTTTGAAAATGGTCCCTTCCTGATGGATGACCATGGGAAAGTGGGGATACCTGACTCCTATCAGGGCTGAGGTCAGGTCCTGGATATCAGTGTAGATGATGATTGTGTAGTGTTCAGGCTCCATCTGTGTGCTCCACAGATCTGTGCAGAAATGCCCACTGGAACAAGATGGGATTCCTCACCAAGGATAACTCAGAAACTCTGTAAGGGAATCAGAGGAGACCTGCACCCTGGGACACTAAAGACAGACTCAATATTCTCTGTTCAAGGGTCCATTGCTGTGGCATAGTGGGTAAAGCCACTGCGTGCAGTGCCTGCATCCCATAGGGATGCCAGTTTGAGTCCCGGCTGCTCCACTTCCGATCCAGCTCTCTGCTATGGCCTGGGAAAACCATAGAAGATGGCCCAAGACCTTAGGCCCCTGCACCCATGTGGGAGATGTGGGAGACCTGGAAGAAGCTCCTGGCTCCTGGCTTCAGATTGGCCCAGCTCCATCCATTGTGGCCAACGGGGAGTGAAACAGTAGATGGAAGACCTCTCTCTGTCTCTCTCTGCCTCTCCTCTCTCTATGTAACTCTTTCAAATAAATACATCTTAAAAATATATTTTGAGACTACAGAACCTGGGAGAGGTGTGTTTCAAAGCTTGTATAGAACCTACGTCTTCCAGGATTCGATTCAGATTAAGCTTTACCTGCTTTTGGCCACAGTATCACAGCAAGGGGTTGTGCATCAGCACCTGCCACTGATTTGTGCTGGGACAGCTGACATTAGCTTCAGTCACCTGGTCTAGGACTCTGCCCGCTTCCTCCAAGAGGGACATTTTTCTGCATACAATGAAAGCATATCTTGGGGTGACTGACTTAGTGATGTGTATACATCACCACCTATAGTGCGAGTTTTCCCTTTTTAGGTTCTCTTTGCTCATAGCTTGCCTTGGGGGATGAAGGCTCTCATCTTTGCTGCCTATCAGCTGCCAGAGTTGGGAGGGGCTGAAACACTGTGACCTCTTGCTCGTGTTTGCATTTCACTGTGCTCTGGTCACAGGTGAGCTCCTCATCCTGCTATTTCGAAAACAAGAAACAAGAACCAGGTAATCAGGGTGTGCCCAGGTGTCTTTATATTGTAAGATATAACACAGGCACAGATGATAAATGGAAGACAATGATAAATGGAAGAGAATACATCGAACTTGGAGGCAATAGCTCTGATTTTCTATCATGTGTGTTCGTCTCCACGGTGTGTTGTAAAGAACCCCAAATCATCCTCTGGAATCTGTCCTTTTCACACAGTTAAAAATGCTGAGAGAGCTTTGATGACAGGGACCAAATTGCAGGTGGCAGGAGTGAGCTCTTAGTGGGCAGCACAGTGGGATGACTGCAGGAACAACAGAGAGGGAAATGTAGGTTACCTTATTTGACCCCTGCACACTGTAAACCTGCATTGCAGTGTTACGTTGTCTCTTAAATATATATATTTTAGTAGCAATACAATTTTCAAAAAGATTTATTTTGGAGTTATGGTTACAGGGAGAGGAAGAGACAGAGAGAAAGATCTTCCATCTGCTGGTTCACTTCCCAAAAGACCGGTTTGAAGTCAGGAGCCAGGAGCTCCATTCAGGTCTGCCATGTGGATGCAGGGGCCCAAGCACTTGGCCATCTTCCACTGCTTTCCCAGACATATTAGCGGGGAGCTAGACTGGAGTGGAGCAGCTGGGACTCGAATCAGCTCCCATATGGGATGCCAGCACCACAGGCAGAGGGTTAACCTACTACGCCCTGGCCCGGCCCCTAATACAAATTTTACAAAATGTTTTTCTAGAAAGTATGGTGAAGGAAATACATTTGGAAAAACAATTTCCTAATTGTATTGCCAGGAAACTATTCTGCATCATTTGGATGTGAGTAAGTACATGTTGTTTTTATGTGTGTGCTCATCAAAGGCGAAAGCTATTTGATCAACTTTGTGGGTTGCCTTCCTAACTTGCCTCTATCATTCTTCTCAGGTATGGAACTCCTTCGAACATTCTTTCAGGGTTTGCTCTGTGCATTGGCCTGGATGTTTCTCTTCTATAAATCCTAGATCAGATCAACGCATTCACGGAATGCCTGCTAAGATAGGCTCATAAATGCAGATGACAGTGTTCTCGCTCTCCTCGCTGTTGTCTTCCCTTGTTTGCATTAGTAATGAAAATCTGGTAGGAGGGCATCTACAACACGGACATCCAAACCATTGCTGCTGTGATTCCTGCTTTCCATCAGAGATTATAAATATCATAGCATATTTTTTCAATTCCAAACCCACAATTTTCTTGTCTTTTTATCTTTTGTTTATTTTTAAAAGATTTATTTACTGTAGGCAGAGTTACAGAGAGAGAGAGAGAGAGAGAGAGAGAGAGAGAGATCTTTCATCCCCTGGTTCACTCCTCAAATGGCCACAACAGCCAGAGCTGAGCCGATCCAAAGCCAGGAACCAGGAGCTTCTTCCAGGTTTTTCATGTGGACTGGAACTGATGCCACTGCAGGTGGCGGCTTTACCCAGGATGCCATAGCGCCGGCCCTGATTTTAAAATATTTCAAATAATACACTAAGTATAAAACAGAGTTCAATGAGCACACCTAAATTGAACAATGTGGCCTTATTCTCCCATTATGTAAGCATCATACAAGCACATACTATTTCTCGATAGCAAGTGTGTGTGTGTACACGTTTTCTCTCGTGATTGGAAATTGAGAAGTGAAATGTGTGGATGTCATATTATTCTGAACGCTGGCTCTTACATAGCAATAAAGCATTCTTTTCAGGTGTGCTGATGTTGTCTGTGACCTCCCTCAGTCCTACTTTCTTATATTATATGTGTGGCCCTGGACCTGAGACATTGTCTTCAGAGGTGTCCTCAGTTGGGTTTGGAATAGGTCGGGGGTCTGGCCTTTCCTAACCTCAGAAAGGAGATGGAAAAAGGACACAGAGAGCGAGCTCAGCAGAGACAAGTTGCTCTATTGAAGCAAATCTCGGAAGAGACTGCGCATCTAGAGCTGAGCTGTTATCTGGTTTCGGAGGGAATTTGCCAATCCTGGGTGGGGTGTGGAGAGGTGGAAGGCAGCTGGTGGGAGAGCAGGGGCTCTTTGAAACCTCTGGGAACTTCCCTCTCATCTGTTTTGCAAGCTGCCTCATGGAGCTAATCTGTTTGCCAGTTGCATTGCAAGGAGTCTGGAACGGTCTGGTTCTGCACCAAGGGTCTCAGCTAAAGGGAAGAAATGGGGTGGGGGAGGAGGGAATGGGTCACGCATGGGGCAAGAAGCCCTTTTATGCTTGCTGGTCAGAAGTGCAGACACTCAGCGTCCACCCCCGATCTCCTTGCATCTGCATCTGCATGTTAACAGCGCCTGCATTTTGATACAACCTAGATGTTAAATTCCTAAAATCTGAGACGGACCCTTATAAGTCTTCGTGATCTTTCCATCCATGAAAGCAAGGAGCCTTGTGTTCCCCTGTGTGCTACACACACATGGATCCATCTACTGGTGCCTTGGTCTACGTGTTGCAGTCCATTAAACGCTAGTATCTGCCCTGGATCTGTGGACTTTATGTCACCCCATGTCATAACCATGAGTACCCGACTGAGTCACTCAGCTACGTCAGTGCCCACACCTGCCTCTCCCACTGCATCTAGAGTCAAGAACTGTCTGCATGGCTGTTTAGTCTGCTATAATGATGCTTTGAATTTCAGGGACATTTATGTTCAGAACCACAGGTTTCTGTGGGAGGCACTGGGCTGCCTGGACCCTGCTCAGAGGGCTTTGTACAGGGACGTGATGCTGAAGCACCACAGGACCCTGCCTTCCCTCCCCGAATTCCTAACCCCTAGCATTCCATCTGCTTACACAGCGTTTTGTGGAAGCCTCCGTTTTTCATGACTGGGTCTCAGGCCTCTGTTTTGAAGAAAAATATAGGGATTCTTGGTGTAGAAAAGCAAAATGTCTTTTAAAGATTTACTTGATCGTGGCTGGTGCTGTGGCATAGGGAATAATGCCGCCACCTGCAGTGCCAACATCCCATATGTGTGCGGGTTTAAGTCCTGGCTGTTCCACTTCAGATCCAGCTCTCTGCTATGGCCTGGGAAAGCCGTTGAAGCTGGTTGAAGTCCTTGGGCCCCTGCACCTGAGTAGGAGACTTGCAAGAAGCTCTTGGCTCCTGTCTCAGGATCAGTGTAGTTTGGGCTGTTGCGGCCATCTAGGGAATTAACCAGCAGATGGAAGACCTCTCTCTCTGCCTCTCCTTCTGACTTTCAATTAAATAAATGAATCTTAAAGAAAGATTTACTTTATCTATTTGAAAGGCAGAGTTAGAGAGAGAGGGAGAGACAGAGGCAGAGACACATCTTTCATGTGCTGGTTCACTCCCCAGATAGCTGTTAATGGCTGGGGCCAAATCCAGGAGCCAGGAGCTTCTTCCAGGTCTCCCACATGGTTGTAGGGGCCCAAGTACTTGATCCATTCTGTGCTGCTTTCCCAGGTGTATTAGCAGGGAGCAGGATTGGAAGTGGAGCAGCTAGGACATGAAGCAGCACCCATATGGGGTGCCGGTTTGGCAGGTGGCAGCTTAACTCACTCAGCCATGATGCTGGCCCCAGAACTCAATTTCTTGAGCTGTCACCATGGGCTGCATTAATAGGAAGCTGCAGTCAGAAGCCAGAGCTAGGAGCCAGCTCCAGGGACTCGTGGGAGGCTGGCAGCTTAAATGTTAGGCCAAATGGCTGCCCCAGGCATTTTATTTTAACCTTCTGCCTTTTTGGGGGGCGAGAACTCCCTCCTTCCACCACTGGGATCATTTAGAAGTCCCTGGCATGAAGGGTCATGGCCCACATGTGAGAGTGCAGTCTCCATGCTCTGATTCGCATTTGGATGCAGTTCCGTGTGGAGCCTGGCTCTGCATGCTGGGCGGGCTTCTTAGTGCTCTGAGGGGTCTTGGCAGCAGCAGCACCCAGGGAAGAAGACCTAGAATCTCTGGTTCCTTCTCTCCAGGCGGGAGACCCCCAGGGAGAGTGGAGTTTTTTTGTTCCTAAACAGCCTTGCAGTCCCTAAGGGAGACTGTCACCTACCTGGAGCAAAGGTGAAGACAGAGGAGACAGAAGCGTCCCCAAGGCAGTGGGAGTGAGG